ATTCTTGCAGTAATTTTTCTTGTCCAAAATAAAATCGATGCTATACACTATTTACATAGAAGAGCGGAAGTTTTTACAGCGTTCCTCAGTTTTATGACGTCAAAGAAGTCGTTGGATAGGATTAAATATAAAATTAATAATTCAAAATTGTAGAGATTTTAAGTGCATTTCATGAAGCTGACATCACAGAACATCAAATTTCTGCGGACTCTGGGACTAAGAATTCCTGGAAAAGGAAGGAAGTGACAGTTAGCATCACCTCATCGCCTGCTGTCACTACCATCTAACATTCAGATGCGGATAATTTATGATGAGTCCATTGCTTATTACGAGATTCACTTGCACCAACTACCTGCATCGTCCTCCTTCAGCAGCAATAACGAAATCCGCATGTCCGTACAACACCAGGATCTCTATGTATTGCCAAGCAAGAGTTTATTGCTCATTTGCGGTAAATTGACGAAAGCCAATCGCAACGAAAGAAAGACATGTGTAACGAGATTTTCGCGTTACTAATGGATATTATTAGAGAAAGTCACTAGTAGTAGGAAGCGACATCTAACGCCGGCTGAAAAAGCCGAGCGAGAGATGAATAGGATGCCGGCCAATAAGGCTGCTCCGAAGGTGAGTGAGAGCAATCATCAAGTGAGAAGAAACGTGGTAGGGTGAGACTATATTTCGGAACACTACGATAACGCTAACGATGGCTGTCACCTATTTTAGAAAACCACCCAGCTGTGTTAGGGAGTCCAAGGCCGACGTACGGGCGTTCCGACTGGGCGATTCCAAAGGGCGCCGTCGAATTAGACCAGGGACTAATGGCTAGGTGAAAAGACTAGTGCCCCCGCGATCCCGTCGAGCTAATGGGTGGCTGTAGGGTAACGGATGACCCACAGACGCCGATAGGTTCAGACTAGGGGGAGAAGGCCCTGGGAGATGTCGAGGCAGTTAGAGTTGAGTGCTGGTGTCGAGCGGATGTTTTAAGAGCTCGGCATTAGTTGACGGCAATAATCCCTCTTGAAGTTATGATAGGTACGTCTTCCCAATCTTAGATTGGGATAGGGAAAGATGGGGAACGTTACGCGTCCCCGACTAGTGAAATGGATTGCTTTGTGGCTGCGGAATGAACGTTTTCGGCGGCAGAGACCTATCTCCAGGCTGAAACTCATGGTGTTGAGGTGGATCAAGGGTTGGGAATCGAGGCGATTCCCGTACGCCCGATCGCACGTGCCTCCATGAGAAGTAGCTCCGATTTTGGCTTGCGATGACATTCCTGTTATTAAGCATCCTCGAATTGGGTCGGACATTAGGTGGGTGAGAAAGGTCTCCGGATGCCAATGTCGCACGTGGCAAGAGATGTTTAGCGCCCTGCGGGGTGAGAAGGATTCGCAGGTAATCTTTACCTCGTTCGGGGTCGAGCCACCCCGGATGAGAATGGAAAACGTGTGAGGGGTGGCAACATCACTTCGAGAAAGACCTGGGGAGTACGTTCCCCCAATAATCTCGCGCTACGACGCCGCAACTGTGACTGACGTCGGTAACCAGAGTTACTTGGACGTTGGTGAACCTCGCCCACTCTACCGAGCCATGCTGATACTGGCTGGTTTTCGTCAGGTTTTCCAGAAAAATCTGGCTGTCGCCCGATCGTGAACTATAGAGACGACAGCCAGAAAAGTTTGAGGATTTAACCCGGGCTGTTGGCCAGGGAAAATTCCTCGTACAAAAGATAACCGACTTGTTGCAAATAGACATGTTGTAAATAATGCCATCTGTCGTTTATTCGAGGAAATCCGCTATGAATTGACTTTGCAGAAATCGATAAGTGTAAAATGTTTGTTTGACGACATTAATGGAAAATGACTTCTCTCAGAGTCATAGCCAGAAATATTCTGTGGAAAATGCGGGCTGGAGGATTGACAACGAGAAGAAAATGACTCATGAGTCAAGATATTTTGGTAAATCCATAAGCCTAAGCATGATTTCAGGATTCGCTGAAGATTATCAAAGAATTGTTATGCAGGCGAAGCACCTGCTAATCCTGCCACGTTCACACAGCAATTTTAATGCTATATTTCAAACCAATGATGGATCACAGGCTGAACACTTCAAAATAAAGATCACCAAGATCGATGGGATGCTGCCCTTCATTAAACCTGTCAAGACTTGAAAAGTGCAGTTTCTCAATCAGATTTCAAGACACGGTTGTTGCCGATGAGCTCTTGCTCTTCGGAATTGGACGACTATAGTATGCTGCCGAGCACAACGAAGCATGTCCGGATTGTAAAATACTCAATGCAATTGAAGAAACCGCGTTACGTCATCCGTGGTTTCCGAATAGCTAGAAAAAATGACGTTTTGAAGGATACCAGTGCATTTGACCATTGGAATATTCGAGAAATCTAAATATTCTTGAATTCGCAAAGTTATCCATATGGAATCTGAATTTGAACATTGAACACAACCAATCAGCTCTTCCCTACTATATGTACACCATCTTTCAAACCTCCTGTTGCTATAAAGAGCCTGAGCGGACTTCATGAAGCACCACTCATCGTCTTCGATTGCTCCAAGCAGAAAGAGTTCTTGAAATCGGGACCTGTGAACATTCGTCTGGCGTTTGAAACATTCGAGATCTTCGACGTCAACACCACAGTCTAGTGCTTGATCTTACATGATCGAATCGTCGAATACAGCCTACTCACCGGCAGCGTCAAGAAACTCATTTGAAAAAAAAAATGTAATCATTGAGCTAAATGAATAAATAAATAAGCAATTATTGTTTGAGAAGAAAATCTTTTTATTGCTCATCAGCAGCACCATGATCAAACGCCGAGTCTGCCTCGGCTTTCAATGATTCAAACATTATGTTTACACCGAGGTTGAGTTTATGTAGACTACCTGTAACATGGATGCTGCTGGACTTTTCCCGTACAAATTTGGTTCACTCTTTCTGTTCTATCGGTTGCTCCATGAGCTAATCTGATAATCTCGCATAAAATTATCATTTACTCCTACTATTAATTCTTCAATAGAGTTAAGATTAACAGTCAGTTGTTTCATACTGAGAATAGATAAAGGCAGGAGTGAATTATCTGAGGCATCTTTTTCATTGTTCTTTCTCACAGCAGCATAGTTCCTCGTCAAAAAGTGCACTTGACTGATGACACTCCAGATACTTTCCAGCGAAACATCACTGAAATACTTCTCCACTCTATCCTCACAGGCGGGACAGTTTGGTGGAGTACTATTGTATGTATGAGCGTATGTCTTCTGGTGACAGGTTCTCCATGATTACAACTGAGGTGCTCCTCAACAAATGATGATTTATATTACCTTATCCTCTCGACGACTATCCAAAATTGGATTCTCGGAAACGATTGTTAACAAAGCGTCTACTTTTATAACGGACTAGTTTTTCAATAGCAGATCGTCTGAAATTTTTTGCAGCTATAATTGCCAGTTATGAGATATTGAATATTCGACATTGCAAATTAGATACTAGACTTTAGACATCACATATTAAATATTAGGGACATTCTTTGTGAAACCAGCTACTCATTTTTTCGACTGTCAGCGATTTTGTTCAAAATTTTTTCCAAGGTTCTGGGTATCAAAAAAAGTATCTCTGATTTATTTCAAAATTTTTGTACCACTCTCTCCATTTTTTATGTGGTAATTAAGGGTTGTCACTAAAACGGCTAATAACGCCGGTTCTATGGGTTGCAGAATAATAAATAAAGGAAGAAAACATATCTTCTTTTCCCAAAATTGCGTCAAATCTCGGAAACTTTCGTGAACCCCCCTTTTTGCGATAAAAAAGCCTAAAATATTTTTTTTCACCATTCGGACATTTTCGATGTTGTTGATTTTTTTTTATCTTATATGTTTGAGTTCAAAGACATGACAGAAAAATTTTGGAAGTGGTAAGTAGTAAGTGGCCAGTATTGGGGAATTTCCCACGCCCCCTCCCCCCTTTTTTCCAGGAAATGGACGTGCAGGTGCAGGTGTGCCCCCCAGGGGGTATTGTTGTTGGGATGTGCGTCTGGACACGTTCACCCCCTTTGTGTCTTGACAAAGGAATTTGACTTTAAGTAATTGATTTGTGTATGTTGCGTTTTATTGAACAATAGACTTCCGGGCGAAGAGAGGATGGTGGGTGGAAAAGAGGAGATGGGTGGAAAAAATATATATAATACAGAATTGTTATGTTTAGAAGGATTATTTGTTCAGGAATGATTATCATCTAGGGTACATATTATTATTATTATTAATTTTAAGAGATTATTATAATTTTTATCAAGTAATTGATCAAGTTATAAATGTCTTTTCTTTTAAACAACGCTGAATACAATGCAAAACACCTCTGCCAGATAGACTCTGAAAAGGTCTACTTAAATTTTTACGCTTACAAGTTTTGCTATCCGTAATTTTTTTAAACAATTTCAATACAATGCGATCGTTACGTTTTGTGTCTGAAGTAAATAATTTATGAAAGGACTGTAGAGACCGATCATTGAAAAGCCAGTGAAGCACAGTAATGCAGTACTGCCCACAAACATCAGACGATATATCTTGGAGTCTTTTCTGGCTCCATTCATATATGCGGCAATTACGCCTAAGGCGTTGTTCGGTTCTTGAGTCGAAGGGTGGCATTCCGAAGCTGTCAAAATAGACTCCTCGTCCATCGGAACCGAGATAAATGGCAACCCAGTGTCGTCCTTCCTGGTTGTGATTATCGGTGTTGACGATGATGGCACAGGGTCGTCTCCATGACCAGGGGACCCGGTCAGCAGGGTAGACTCCTCCAATTGATGCATCGGTATGCGGTAGCACTTTCAAGAGCTCGAGGGTATTCATAAAGCGACGTCACAACGGGGTAATTATTGCGGTTTTTTAGGACCCAGGTAGAGCAGATTTATAGTGTGGTGCCTTGACCGCCTGTTTACACTCAACTAACGCTATTGCCGAGTGATCTTCTATTAAATAGATTCTTCTGCTCCTCACCCACTATAATCGACAATGACCTGTCTTGTCGAGTCGATTTCAAGCAAATTATCATATTCCGCATATAGCAAACAGTTTACATTTGATTCCGAAGCTTTATCAAAGCGGACTTCAATGCGAACACTCCCGCTCCTTACGAGATTCCAGTGCCCAGCAGAACTTGCAGATAAATCTGGAGTTAGGTCAAATGCGAATAAGCAGAAGCCCTCAGAATATGCTCGACGACCAATGCCATTGCCATGATCACTAAAATGTGTACCGGTTCCAGCAAATAGGGTATTGAAAGCCTCCACATCCAGACACGCATCGCTTGTATAACAGGGTTGTAATGGTTTCGTAGGTATCTGACGCCCATCCACATTCATACATAAAAAGTTGATTCCAAAGTTCTGGAAGTTGAAGAGGTTCTTCTTTCTCATTCCATTAAAACTGGTATTTTCAACAAAACCAAGAATGATTCTCTTAGGTAACTGTCCCAAAATGGCGTTATCTATCGTCTCCCCTAAAATTCCACTATGCATGACAAACGATTTAACCTCGACTCGTGTCAAGGGATACTTTGCAGTTGTCTGTGCCAATGTTTTTGCATGGGCTATCAGGATTCCAGGGCTCAGTCTCACACGTCGTATAATCAATGCAGCCTCCTCAATTTTTACTTTATAATTATGAGGGGTATCATCCATGAGACAATATTCATCCTTTGCTCGAATCAGACGAACTCGTAGTTCCACGCCGTCCATCAAAAATTTATCTTGATTGAAAACATCGCAATGCAAATGTCCAAGCATATCAGACGTCCTTCCTCCTCTCGTAAATACATTTCGAGCCGTTAGACCGATATTTTTTCGTACATCATCGCTGACAATTACAGGGGTGTCCATAGCAGAATATGTATCGGTTGCCCACAAGGCCATCCCAAGGTGTGAGGCTTTAGCATCTTGGCCATAATTCAGTAGTGTTTCAATGTAAGCTCTATATGCGTAGAGATTATTTGGTGGTGTAACAACTTTTTGATTAAAGTATACATCCACTTGATTGAACATTGAATGCAGAAAATTATTCACAGGGCCGACTGAATCAGCGCTTGCAGCAGTTCCATCAGGCCTAAGAATTTTCGCTCGGATTTTTATCATTGTGTGAGCCAGATCAATGTATTCTTCTCCATGACCTGGCACGATAACTTCAATCGGCGTGTCATCTGACAGTGTCGATACAGGGTTATAATAAAGAAATTGAGAATTTTCGATGCTTGTCGGTGTCGGGGGGATAGTAAATAGATCCAGCTCCGACTTCACGCACTCGGAAGAGTGTGAATGTAAAAACGACATGATACTTAATGGAAAATGTCGTACAAATCACGAGTCCCGGTTTTTGATTTATTTTTCTTCACTTTTTTTACTTTTTTCTTATTTTTTTGTGCAGGCTTAGTCTTTTTATTCTTTCTGGAATTCAGTGTCTTGACAGAACCACGCCCAGAAAGCTTATGAGTCGTGAGACGCTTACGCTTCCTTTTATACCCCGATCCACGCATCATAGACCCAATTTTTTCTTTAGCCTTTCTTTTCAAGTTCAATCCCGATTCCGCTAAGCGATCTTCAAGCGCCACCTTCAAGGGCTTCCCGTTCGTCACTACATCCCCCACTACATTCATCCCCGCATGAAGAGCTTCTTTACCGACCGCTCGAGCCGCGCTGCCGAGGAAGGGTAGAATGCGGCGGAAAAGTCCGCCAAGTAATGCGCCAATTCCATGTCCACGCTGGTAAGGTCTTCCTACATAAACTCGGCCAAAATTATTGTACCTCTCCACCGTTCCTCCGCCAGCCTGGCTTGCATAATATGCAATGTAGGGACTCATGTTGCAGGTTTTTTTAAGCGACTCTCTTGAAATGAAGTGTTACGTTCAAAGGACCGTACTCGAATGGTATCATTTCCCCTTGGTTACACCTTATATCTTTGTCTATTGTACGGAATGAATATCTCATTAAAGGGATGTAATGAGGGTTAGAAAAAGTAGCGCAGTATGTCGTTCCATAGGTATAGCCAGTAGAATTGAAGGGTACGACGCGCAACAGAGACGACTGCACGTCACCTGTTACATAGGGTGTACAAAGATCGCTGTAAACGAACAAATTTTCAGGTAAACCTCGAGCCAGAGAGGCAGGTAGAGACCCCAACTTGACAGGCCTAATATCATTGAAAATATGCTCGCCTCTTTCAAACCCCATTATATCAGACAATTTATCCGAAAGGTCTAAAACATGTATGAGACTACTGCAGGTCTTATTGCTGCAACGCTTTTCAATTTTCGCAAAACCTTGTTCTTTACAATATTCAAATTTCATGTGTTCTTTCAAATGGGCAAAATTATTCATAAAATCCACAACGTCAGACAAATCGTTGAAAACGGCTGTTGGCAAGAAAAACATTTGATCCCGATCAGCATTATCATTGCTAATGAATCGGATGGATGCATCTTTCCTATCCCGGATATGTAGAAAATTACAAGGAAACTGTATTTCACTCAATCCGACCACGCATTGACCATCCAGTTCCAACTGTTTCGGAAGTAATGTTGTGTATTTTGACGCCGTATTATCAGGGTAATAGTCCTTGCTACTGTTGCTGGGCAGTACCATATAAAATCCGTCGCCTTTCATTCTTTTCCAATAACGTGTAACTCTGACGCAGGAATCCACGAATCAAATTTATCAGGATATCCTTCCCAATGAACTAAAATTTGTTTATTCTTTCCTTTTCCTTTTGAACGTATGACACGCTCGATTATAAATTGCTCCTTATCCAGCTGTTTATTAACCAGCACCAACTCTCTCTCGTAAAAAAATCCTTCAATATGTTCGCCAGACAAATCTTTTAATTCGTATATAGGCAAGGATTGCTTGAAGACTGCCTTAGTTATTTCGAAAATTTCTTTACTCCAATTAGTCTCGTACCCTTTCTCAAAGATACCTTTCGCTCGACTGATGCGTACATAGTCTCCAACCTT